GGCAATTCTTTGGTTTACTATGTGTAAAACTTAAAAAGCACTAATTTGTGCCAAATTATTCATTCCTTGATCATGAAGATGCAACCATTTTTGGCAGATGTCTTGTAAGAAATAATCTATACAAGCAACCGCTACAATATGGCAGTGTTAGGTTGGATGTGAAACAATGTGAAAGTGAAGAGACAGATGAGTCTGAAAGAGTAATTCTGCCAGCATTGGTTTGTCCTCTACACAGCGTTGGTGGAGAGGTAAAAGACTGCACAGCAAAAAGCAAAATTCAACAATAGCCCCATCTTCCAAAGATTATCATAGCAAGATCCAAGACTTGCTTATGTTCAGTGTCTAATGCGTAATATAGTTATTGGATACATTTAATAGGTACCTTACACTACAAACAGGGATTTTGAAGATGTATCTGGCTTAAGTTTCTCTACCATTCCTCTGTCCCTGTCCTCACGCCCCTGCCCACCTCTCCCATTTGTGTTCCTACCTATCCTTCTAGGTCTCCCCCCAGACTGATTTTATTAAACTTTGTTCCTTCTTTTTTGCCATGTGTGCAACTGGAAGAACAGGTGGCAGCCAGAATCTTTCCAAAATAAGAGCCAGTCACCATTGATATCCCACTTCCAAAGGAACCATGTCTTTTTGGACAGTCTGAGCTTTATTTTTCCTGTCCTGTCTGAAAGAAGAAATACTGTTACTTTTTTCAAGTGTCACTCAGCTTTTGTAGGGTCTTTGTGACTTCCCCAGGGTCCCTAGGTTGGAGAAGCAAACCAGGGATTAGGGGTAACCTCCCAGTGGTGGGCTATCAGTGAGAACAGGGAAAGGTTTCTGCAGTTGGAGACTGGTACTATAAGACTATAAGTAGCTGTTAAAACTGGATGGCATTGTCCTTTTTTCCCCTCTGTTTCCTGCACACTCTCTCTTCCCCCTGCCCTTCACTGCTTCCCAGCCAGGGATGAGAATTCCAGCAAAACAAATGTGAATCGTCCCTTTTTATTTTAATTTTAAATTCCATTCACTTCAAGCAAATACAAACCTTAAATCTTCTTCCAGTCTATGAGGTGCTAACTGCCTAAGTTTATGCCTAGGAGCTACTTGAGATACTTCAAGAGTTTTCCTTAAGATGTTATAAAGTTCCTCCTTTACTATGCACTTGGGTACAAACATAAACTGTACTTAAACTGGTTCTTAACTTTTCAAAGATTGGGTTGACTCTAGAATTTAGGCATTTGTTTTTATACAGATTTAACAGATGCATTAAAATATTTTATAAGGCTCCAGTCTTGCCTCTTCAACATATTTAACGTGCAGTGTTTTAATTAGCCAAGTTTTAGAATAGCGAATCAAGTTCTGCTTTCACTAGCACCTAAGCAATCCCACTGGAATTAGTGGGTCTGCACATCTGCAAGAGCCGAATTTGGACTTGGTGCATATCCACTGTATATAAATGTAGCCTTGATTACATGAGTCAAACAGCTCACTGGGAGATGCACCAAACGCCAAATATTGTTTGTTAGCAGGGAGTTATGTGTTCTCTTTATAGTTTAAATCTGAACCGTATGCCTTTCCACTTGAAAAAGCTCTTGTGGTACTCAGCTGTAATATAAATTGGAGATCTAACTCTAAGATGTAGTGTATCCTTTTCTCCCATACATTTGCCATTTGTTCCCATACATTAAATTAGAACGTTTACATGATAAACTTGCTGCTCCCATGGTACTCTGCATGGGTTAGCTTCTAAACTGGAAATGCGGTTAGCCATGTTCACAGGTGCTGTGGGTGAGATAATTAGCATGGGGTAGGCTAATCAGCATTATCACTGAGCCTAAAGCACCATGCAGACATAGTTATACTGCTTCTGACTTAAACGGCAACCTTCCAAAAACAGCATATGGTACTTGCCGGTGTCACTACTAAGAATAATAAGAATACACATAATGTATATAATGAATGTTCCCTCCCTCTTGCCAAATTCATTTTTTTTCTGGTAACTTTTGTGAAGATTCCAAATACTACAGAGAGGTTAAGATCCTCATTCATATAATGTATATAGTGATTGTATGGTGAATTCTTTAAACATCTGTCCCTTGATTAAAAAATTAAAACTACTTAGTGGCTCCCTACAATGACATAAACTCCCTGCAGATTTTTTTTTATATAAATCCATCTTTGAAGTTGGACCACAGGTTAGCTGTAGCCAATTTTGGCTTTTTTCCTTGAAAAGTCCAGACTTCTCAGGCCATTTTAATGTGTTTAAAAGCCCTTTGTTTTTTAAAAACCTCTGACAGTCAGTTTGGTCCCATTTTGTCAATTTTAACATTATGTGAAAAACATATGGATTTGAATCTAAACCAGTGGCAAAAGAAACATTATGTTTTAGTCTCATAAATATCAGAATTAGGAAAGGGGAAAGAACTCGGTGTGGTGCATGATTTCTGCATGTAGACTTGAAGGAGCAAACTAGAACCTCTACTGGCTGTCAAGTATTATAGCTGCTCTCTTTTAGCATTTGGTGAGAATATATTTTCAGTGGAGTTGAATACTGCATGGTGTTGCTATATGAACAAAGAAAATGTAGAACTGATGTTTTAAAAGCTATACATGGATGATTTTGATGCTATTAACACTAGAGGTGCTGATATATAGTAGTTGTTGGTCTCAATACTTTTAGCAATTAGTTATATAGGGTAGCAGTTCAAGACCTAAAACATATTAATGAAAATACAACGAGTATTAATCCCATGGCACTACTTAAGAGCTGTGACTTTCTCAACTGGAGGAAAAGCTAATTACAAAGTTAAACTGGTGTCCACCTTCTCGCCCCTCCCTTCCCCCCCAAAAACAACCAAAATCCCCACAATATTGCTTGTACTGTGTTGATAAGTTTTTTGTAAACCTTGTTGGTTATAAAAAGCTGTATACTTCACATATTAATTGAAAAGTCAGTAAAAGCTATAAATGCTGAGTACTGTTGTTCAGGTAGAGGAAATGGTTGTCTGCTGTGATCTACACAGCAGTAAAAGTAATATTTCTTTTGTTTTGATACAGCCAAATGATAAACCGTCCCTAACAAGGCACTAAGTCAATATTCTAGAATTATAAAAAGGACTGAGGGGCAGAATGAATAACTTCATTCATTTTTGGTCACTAGAAAAAAGTTACTGTAGCAATAAAGTTAAAGGCAGAATTCCTATGATAATAAAAGGGCTTGGCAATCTACTTATTCAAAAGATTTTTCTACTTTGTGGAATAAAGGTTGAGTTTGTTTTCATGTTATATACATACTTTTTAAAGAAAAGCTGCTCTTTTAGTCAGAGTTGTAGAATACAATCAATAGTGGACACTTCTCCAAACAGGGTCGTAGCCCTTTATGTATTTTGACCTCTTTAAATTGTTCGGGTGGTACAAAGGGACTGAAAGGCAGAGACGGACAAGGTGAAACTTTCCATAGTGTGGAGGGAAACTTAAGAGGTGCATCCAAGTCCAGTGTACTCAGCTCTAAATTATTTCCTTAACCCTGTTGAGCAGGCAGAGGCATGTTGGGATCTTGCCTGGAGCTTTCATGAGGGCCATCTTACTTTCCAGCTTCCTACCTTAATGAATCACTTTTATGCTCTGTGTTCAGTGCCCAGTTAGACTGTTCTACTGTTTCTAGCAGTACAAGCTTACTCTCCTTTAAAAATAAGCTATGTAGAGTTTCACATTTGTCTCCCAATATTTTACCTATTGTTGTTGCAAGTAACATCTACCATTGCTCTAACATAAAGAGGTTTGTGAAGCGTTTAAAGATAAGAAATGTAATCAGTGGAGGAAGGATTCTCTTTTGTATCTACAGCACTGACGAGAAAATACATATTGGTAGATGAATTCAGGGAAAAGCATATTCAATAGAGCGTTTGTAACAGTGTAATTGAAATTGTCTGTATTTCATGTTGGTGTGATAACGTGGGGTAGGGATTCGAGAGAAATCTGTCCGTGCTAAAAGTTGCAGAATAGGAAGCCCATTGTTATATCTTGGCATTATATGGCAGTGAGTAGGTACAAAACACTGATATATTTGTAAGCATTATATTTGGAGATTTTAGGACTAAAGAGTTGTACTCTAATTATGAAAAGTACTATTTTGGTGTGGAGATTGAATACAATTTGCTAGTTGTTAGCTGGTTAAATAACAATTATTTTCACCACTTAAGGAGAAGAAGATGCAAAATGCTATTGTTAAGGAGAGTGTTGGTTATAGCTATGTTGGTCTAAGGACATAAACCATTGTTAAGGAGAGAAGATGTATTTTTTTTTCCTTGGCTATGATAACATTTTGCATATTTTCATCAATATCAGCATTTTTAAAAACTCGCTATTCAAATAGTTCATGTATATTGAGTATTTAAAGAAGTACAAATCAGTTAATCTCATAATTGGAATGGACAAAACAAAATGCTTACACAGTTATGCAATTATATACTTACATTAACTCTTTTAGTGTTTTATTAGTCTGTTTATAGAATTAGGATTGTTTTTTAATTTTAAGGGCATATGCACAATCAGTGTTAAGATACTGTTGCTAGAAAAAGATTATTGAAGAATATTACATATTCTAAAAGGTATTATGCTAGTAAAAGAGAAATAGCTTCTGTGTCATTAGAGATACTAATTCATTGGAGTTATCAATTCAATTCCTATACAAAACCACGTAGAACAAGATCGATGAGTTAGTTATTTAACCAAACCAAAACAAATAAGTATTAGGGTTATTATATTATTATATTCTGAAGATGCAAACATAGTTAAATGTAGGCTTGCTAGTGACAATAGTAGGCATCTGTAGGACTGGCTTATAAAAGAGGAAAACTTGCACATGAAAATTATGAAGCAGATTTTTCTGGCATTGATACTATAGCAGAATCTATTTAAGATTTATGTTTCTGGTAGATTAACATAGCACATTAAAAAGCAGTATATATTAAGAAAGCTTTATAAATAGTTTGGCTTATACTTACCCTTCTCTGTGAGCTTCTCCTTTTTCTAACTCCTGAATAACACCCAACAACACTTTTATGGTTTCCTGGCTTGAACTGATCAAATTCTCCATCATCTGAAGCTGTGCTTTCAAGTCCACGACTTCTGTGTGAGGCACAATTTGTTGGCATCCTTCACTCACAGCAACTGCTGTCTGACAAGGCTGACTTTCTTTCAGAGGTGAAACATTTATCTGAAGGGTCTGTTCATTACATTCGGGAGATTGGCACTGTGCCTGTGATGAGCAGGCCTGAGGATTTACTGATTGGGACTGCAAACCATTAAGATGCACAGTTCTCTTTTTTTCCTCATCTGTTGTTGGGCACAATAACCATTCAGTATCTGCTGCAGAGTTTTGCGAGTCAGGCCGTATGGCATGTGAACTGGACGCAGGTAAATAAATGGTAGCTACTTCCGTCTTAAACACTTTTCCATGTGCTGATTGATTAGACTCCTCATTACCTAATGGCCCTGTATCATGTTTTGCTTTATCATGCAGCTGGTAATCAGGTTCTTCTGAAGTAGAGTCTGCTGAGTTTTGAAGAGAAGAAGGTTCTTTAGTACAGCTGTGCAAATCAGTGCTTTTACATGCCTCTGAACAGTTGTCACTAGAAGGCTGATCTATTGCATTCATGCGTTCATTAGTATGGGAAATAAATTCTGCGGTCATTAGGCCACCGACCTTCTTGCTACATTGAGCAGCCTCCCCTGAGTTTTTACTGTCTTTATCCTTAATATCTATTAGAAATCCATTGTTTTGACTCTTAAAGGTGTCAACAGCTGAGATGCTTTTAATAATATTCCCTTTTTTGCGGTCCAGAGGGAATGTCTGGTAACACTTTTTAAGATCTGGTGAAGTCTGAACTCCTGTGCTCTTAGTAACATTAGGTATTGACCTTCGTGCAGGCACTGTCATATATTTACGATAAGCTGTTTTATATGAGATGGGCTTTGTTTCTCTTTTGTCTGTATGTTGTACTGTAGATAGTTGCTTGTCCCTTTGTTCATTCTGGGCCTCACAGATATCTTTAAATCTCACCTGCAGGGCTTTGTTTCTTTTCTTAATCTGTCGGTTGGGATCCAATGCATATTTCATCTCCAAGGCAAGTGAAGCTGCTGGTTCAACTTCACTTTCAGAGGCCGTGAGTAAGCATTTGCTGGGTTCCTTACTCACCATGATGCCTGTATTTAAAAACAGTGTAAGAAGTCTTTTATTATAACAGCAAGGCTTGTTTAATTTAAATATCACAAACTTATAGAAAAATATCCTGAGCATTTTTCAATAGTCCCCTTTCATGTTTATCGAAAACCAGGCTCTGTAGGAAAACCTGCACCAGTGGTTCTTAACTTTTTAGATTCAAGGAACCCCTGAACGGGCTCAAGACAAAGGTCAAAGATAGTTATATTAACATTTTTTAGTCAGCCTGCTCTTAATTTTCACTCATTTTTGAACTACAGAAAAATACTAGAGCAATTTTCCTGTTGCAAAGAACTCAGGAAGACCAAAACAGGTCCCATGTTTTTAACACTATAAATTCCTATTTGAAATCTCTGGGTTTACCTAACAGTGTTAATATTGCTTGGGCCCCACAGCACCTTTGAAAAGATCTCAACACGTGCCAGCATGCCGTGGGACCCTGGTTGTATTCACTGACCTGCACTTGTGAAGTGTTTCATGTGAAATGGCTTTACCTCCTTTGCTGCTTTTGGGAACAATGTGCATACCTCTCTAATTTTTATTATGAACATCACTTCATTTATTGATGTTTGAGAAACTATCTGCTGGACAGGAGACTTCCTACTCTGCAGGGTGACTGCCAGTGAATAATATTGCGTCCTTTTTGCAAAACATCTGGAATTTTAAGATTCTAAGAATGCTGTATAGTCTTGCTATTGTTATAATTGCTGCTCATTTTGGATTTTTGAGTATGCATAATTCATTTGTTATTAGTTTGTAGAGGACAGTTGTCTTTGAAACCTCTTGCTATAAAATGCAGGTCTTGTAGTGCAACGATATACAGGAATTTAATATCAGAATGTTTGAAAGGACTACTAATTGTGTAGTGGAAATAAGGCTTAATAGGTTGTGTTTATATGATAGATCATACTGACAGAGATTAAATATTCGGAGCGTCTTGCTCTGCTTCAGAAGACACCCAGATTTTAAATCACTGGTACTTCCCTGAAAGCAATGGCTTTGGTAGAAAGCAAAGTTTTTACTGCTTTTACATCAATGGATTCTTCAGAACTTAATAAGAACAGTGAGCCATTTATTAATATTGAAAAAATATTATCTGTCATAACTTTTTTACAGTAAATCTGGTTGAAATATCTAGCGAATAAAACAGGAATGCTGCAGCAATTAAAGGAAAAACATATGCTTTATGTTGAGCATTCAGTATTCATCTTGTACTTTATTCATCTTATTAATAATAGTAACTAAGATGATACAGGTGGTCAATTATTCCACTTGAGTATACTACTAGAATAACACCTTAGTTGATTTTGTTACTTTTATGTACATGGGAAAGTTAACTTCAAATAAGAAAAACCGTTTGGTTCAAACTCTGTCCTGATGAAAACTGACAGTCATTTGAAGTCAATAAGCTGCATACCAGCAAAGAATCTGCATCCTATATTTATGGTTTCCCCCTCCCCCAACTTAAATAAGAAGTTGTTAATTGTTTTTATAATTGAAATTAATTGTTTCCTCAGGTTCATAAACAGCAACAATTTTTGCCTACACTTAGCAGGAAGCTTTTTACTGGGAAATATAGTGGTTTAAATGAAAAACTGTTTACATGACTAATCCTTTTTTCCCCTTGCCATTGTTTTAGCATTTATGTATGAATGAGACTCTTTTTTTTCTCTCTCTCTCTCTCTCTCTACATGTAACACTAGCTATTTATCTCACAGATTAGCATGACATTTTAATTATGACCTTAGCTTTAGTAAATATTCAGCATTATGATGTTTATGCTATTTGTGATTTTGCTTTATTTGTGGAGAAGGTCCCTAAATTAAGGTTTTGTTTTAAATGCAAAACAGAACCCAACCTTAAAGAGGCCATTTGGACTAGAGCCTTTGATCCAGAGGATCCCAAAACACTGGGAAAACTGTTATGGTTCAGGAAGTGACTTCATCTGTTGCTGAAGTGTAAGCACCTCCTCAAGGATGAAAGATGCAAATAGATGCTCTGTAGAGTATACAACAAGGAACACCAGGTCTATCTTTGCAAATTTAGAATAGACTGTATGTTTTAATCACACATTGTTAGGATTTGATTTTTATATCTCATTTGAAAAGATGTAATCTTTAGCAGTATGATCATCTACTGCACAAACCTCTTACCAACATTGAAAGTATGACATTTCCAGAACCACTTAATCCACGTATTCTTTGGAGGTCTCCTGTTCCAGTTCTGACATTATTCTTGGTAGGATTCACAGTGTAATGCAGGATGACTGCAGGATTTTTCTACTGAGATATTTGAAAACTCTATTTTATGCCTTTTCTCCCCTTAGGAAGAAATGTCCAAGACTTGAGTGCCCCAAAATCTTTTGTTCCCATGACAGCTCTGAGTGAATTGTTATTACTGTTTTTAAATTTTCAAGATGTCTTAAGTCAGTTGAGGAATGCTCAGTTGAAAATCGAGCTTCCATACCTTTAAAAGGGTACAAGCTTTGCTTTTCTTCAGTATAACTGGCTTCTGTGAGCATACTTAAGCAATGCAGGGTTTCTTGAGAGCAACAGGTCTGTCACACAGACACAAAAACATTATATAATGCACAACACGCTGATTAATGCTATTGTAATGCCAAAGCAACAGAAGACACTTTTAAGCAAAAAACTGAGCGTATCACTGTCACTTTGAAGTGTTCTTTTTGTCCTCTGTAAGCTTTGTTTGCTCATTTGTAGCCTGCTGACCTGCAGATAACTTAAGGACACATTTACACGTGCTCCAGGAGTTGGGGGGTACTTTAATTAAAGCAGCTCTGAGACCTGCTCTAATTAAAGTGACATAGTGTATCAGTGTCCCCGCGCTTCAAAATGGTGGTGGGGGTGCTTGAATTTAAAGCTCATTCAGTGAGCTTTAGTTCAAGTGTCCCTGCTGCCATTTTGAAGTGTGGGGACACTGATGCACAAGACGTGAGAGGCTGCTGGAGTACGGTAATTGCCCTGCTCCAAGTCTGCTTTGATACACATTTTTTTTTTTTTTTTTTTTTTTTTTACAGTGCATCGGAGGAGCCTGTGCTCCTGTACAGGTACCCTTAGTTTTCTGGGCATTTTCATTATTTCAAAAAGTCTTGCTTATATGAGTTGTTGGATCACTACTTCTCTTATCTTTTAAAGGCTTTTTTCAATAGCTAGTCTATGAACATGTTAGAATGCTGCTTTATTTCTGTCCTTTTAAATTCTGTCATCTACAAGAGACAAAATCTGACATCAAGTATCAGCTAACCTGAATTCTTCAATATAGCATCAGAAAATTAACTGCTAAATTCAGATACTTTTCTTTGCATAGTTCTTAAGATTTTCAGATGTAACCTTATTGATTTAGGCTTGTTGGTTTTCTCTTTTTGAAAAAACAAAAGAAACCAAAAAAACACCATTCTTGTAGCAACTCAAGTCCTATATTAGGTCAACACATCCTGTGTTCCTAATTTAACTAGCTGCTTTTAAAATCTCACACCATTACATTCTAATGAGTGGCGGTAAACTCCTCTAAATCTAATAATTTATTAACAGGTACCTGAAGTAAGGCCGATTAGAAACCAGAGCATAATCTGTCTAATTAATTCTCTATTTATAACCATAGCTTTCAGAAGGATATGGGCAAGGGTAAAGTTTTCAAAGTAAACTTTTCTGTGTCAGCCTGGAAGGAACTGAGTAAGGCACTTATAGAGAAAAAGATTCTAGTGCCAATATAGTAGTTTTCAGGCTCAAAATAAAAATAAAGTAAGTTGTAAATGGGGTGGCAGAGCCCTTCTGTTCATGCACCATTATAAAGAGCGGAGCACTTTGTCTAAATCTGCTGAAATGCTGTTGATTCATTGTGAAAGGTGCAAACTCTACGTTGCACATAAAAATATACTAACAGCACTCTCTGCAATGGGAATGGGGAACTGGGACAAAGGAAACACTTGTGGAAACAGTAAAAACAGCCAAGATTAGAGAAAACAATTCATGTGAAGTTTGGTCAGCAAAGCTGAACCCTGTCAAAGGAGTGAGTTCATAACACCAACTTGGGGATTTCAGGGTAAAATCCATTTCATGATGTAGTCAGTGGGAAGCCTTCTAACCTCTGAAAAGGCCATATTTTTGCCCACTGTATCTTCTGAAGGCAAGGTAGGTATTCAGCTTGTTTACAAGCCTGCTGTCTCTGACACACACACACACACACACACACACACACACACACACACACACACACACACACACACACACACACACACCCCC